AGGTTTTATTTGTTTTCATACGTGCTTTCAAACAGTTTAAAACTTTACGAAGATTTCTTATTTATAAGAGTTTCGTAAATTCCATCGAGTCAGTTATTCTGCGACGTACATGAAGGTTGCCGCTCAAATACCTCGTATTGAATTGTATTCATCATGTCTGTCGACACAGTTGTCAAGTTCAACCTTAACAAATCTCTGCACGGATTTTTATCATGTGCAAAGTGCTGGCTTTGGCTGCCATTTGGTATGACTCAATTTTTGTGATTTTCAATTTTCTTTATTCCATTTATGCTCACGGAATTTTCCTACGATCAGCGTACATTGAAATTTGAAGCTTTGATTTACTGAATTTAGGAGTTGTGTTTTCTATTTTTCATTTTGGCAAGAGAACGAAATAATTTTTTCCCCATTTTTTGTTTTCCATTTATTTATCGAAAATTGGAAGACGAAATTTCCTTTACCGGGATCTTGTCGGTCACGGGCTAAAATAAGCAAGGAAAATTGAAATTTTTCCCCGTTTGGGCTAGTCTCCCCCACAGCCGCTTTCAGTGTCGTCACGCAACGCTTTCTCCCCTGAGTAGAGAAAACGTTGCGTGACGACACTGAAAGCGGCTGTGGGGGAGACTACGTTTGGGCTGGTTGATTTTAGTTTTATTAATTTATTTATTTTTGCTTAATTATATATTTTAGAGGTTTTTTTTTATAGTTTTGTTACTCATGTAGAATATTTAAAACTGGGACATCGTCTGAATCAAACGACGGGAATCTCTTGCGGTTTGACCACAGTCTGTTCTGCATTAGTATTGAAAATAATTTACAGAACAACCGAAGACAAGAATGTATCTCCAGACTCGACACAATATACTTGAATCAATTGCCGAGCGATTTGAATGGGAAAGAAAGAAAGAAAGAAAGAACGAGCAGAATCATCTCCGCTTACTGTCTTCATTATAAATGAGTAATATATATCAGTGATTTGATTGTTTGATTATGACTTCGTTGTAGCCTCATGGCCGCCAATATTCAATTTGCAATGACCATCAAGAATGCGCAGACGTGTGCACACTTTTAAGTCGAGTCCTAATAAACTGCAGCCCCCTTATTTGTTTTAATTTTGCTTTATGAAAAGCCTTGTTTTGTCGCAGGACCAGCTGATAAGAAAACTGCGACTTCAACCAAGACATCAGTCGTTAACAGTCTTAAATCAACCATCAAACCTCTCAAACTCAAAGCCAAAGGAAGCCCAACCAGTAAAATAGCTGTCAGCCCAAGCAAATACTACCCATCACGGCTGCCAAGGAAGATATTATCCCGTGACACAAGCACTGATAGCGGACATTCTCATGACCATGWGCGCGATGTAGATACTGCATCAATCGGTACCGATGGCTCAGACTTCTTAGACGGCCAGAAACTGATCCAAGGTGAAAGCTTTTCTCATGACCAGGAACACTACGACGCTGATCGATCAGATCTGGAATCGAGTACCAAGTCATGGCAGTACCCATCACACGCACCGGATATTCTTACAGGCACGCGCGAGATTCACACGCGCTCCGCCGAGGTTCAGGTCCAGATGAGTGAAGATGAAGCCTCGCAGGAGACGTACAACAAGTTGGTCCACGTGGAAGAGATGTTCCAACTGAAGAGCAGGCAGTGCCAGGAGCTGGAAGCTGTTATTGCTAATAGTAACACTGATATCTTGGCAAGCGCTATGCTCTTCATCATCTTGTGTAAAAAGGTATGTTGTAGTAGTACATGATTGCTATGAAACTTGCCATATGGTAGACTAGCAGAGGAAACAGCAGCTGTGCTCTGACTTTGATCAGCCCAGAGGTCGCATTCAAGGCTGGATATACTTGAGGTTTGGTCAATCTAACCAGGGTTATTGAAATCGAACCAATACTGTGCAAGTTGCAACACGTCACCGTTACTTAAGTTTGCTTACGGAATGTCCACACCCATTCCTCGCACCCTTCCCATAAACGTTCTTGTGACGTTCTTGTACAGAATATTAGTCTTATTGCGTATTAATTAATACGATTTCTTTTCAGCTTCAAAATAATGGTCGCTTGATTATGCAGTTAAAAAACCACTTGCGCTCCACAGAATCAGAATTAAAACAAGTACAGCACAGACTAGGTAAAATACTTTGTCACGAAAGCACCAGTGTTAGCAAGTATAACATTAGCGTGAGAGATCTTAATACACAACTCCATGTTCAACAGTAGGGGCTCGGTAAAATATCACTCTCGAGGGTGAGTGTAGCGGTAGTGTACTCGCTTTTCACCTCTGGGGTCTCGGGTTTGATTCCTGGACACGGCATCATCACATGGTAGCGTTTGTTAGGTCTCTCTCTGCTTGATTCGAGGGTTTTTCTACGGGTTTTCCGTTTTCCTCCCTCCACAAAGTTCAAAAACGCTAAATTCCAATTAAATCTGCGAGTTAACCGTGCCCTGACTTCGATCAGCCCAAATTTCATGCACCGTTTTTCTTCTTTCTTTGTAGCCGAGGAAGAAGAAAACGGCGTCAAACTTCAAGAAGAAATGATGTATATTAGAAGTGAACACACTGTAGCCATCCAGAACCTGAAGGCTGATCATGAAGACAGGATAGAAGAATTACGTTACACCATGAAGAAACAACTCGCCGAGGAACAGAAAAAAGGTGAGCTTGCTAAAGCCTGGGCCTGGTTGTACGAGGCCTGGATAGCGCTATCCAACGGATGAGTATATCCAGTGGATAAATTTAATGGATAACAGCATTGACTTATCCACTGGACAAGTTTTATCCATCGGATAGTGCTATCCACCATTCGTACAACCGGGGCCTAGTGTTCACCTGAAACACAACATACGCAGACTTAATCTGTTGTACAGTGCTCATTTCTTCACACCTTTTAGCTGAAAGTTATACTCGAGAGGGAGAGCTCGCGCAAGTGCAGAAATAACCATTATTTCCCATTCGATCCCCCTCTTATAACCAACCAAATTGGACTGATCAAATCAAAAGAAGTTTGAGGTCAATTGGTGATTGTATTTAATGTAGTGTTTATCTGTCCACAGCGGCTGATGAACGTGTTGCTGAACTGCTGGAGCTTAGCAAAGTCCACGAGGAAAAGGTCAGATCCTAGTCTTTAAATAAGCACCTCTGAAGGTATCTCTCTTATTTTCCTATCTTAGGGACTTGGGATCCCTGTGTGATAAAGGAGGGAGGAGGCGGATTGGGGAGAGGTCACACACCACAGTTAGCCCGCCGGAGAAATGCCTGCAGGGAAAGTAACATTTCTTTTTCGTCCTCTAGGTGGCAGAAGTCAAGAAGCAGCACGAGAAAGCAATAGAAGATTTACACGAGACGTACAAAGATGAAATCGTTGAGGTGGAAACCAAACATTCTCAGCATATAGACGGTATGTCGATAAAGATGTGTACCTTTACAGTGCAACTACATTAACTAAGGTCTGTTCAGTATTTTCCTACAATTTCTGAGTATTCCTTTTTTCTGCAGAACTGCTTGAAGAACATCAAGTAGAGATTGAAACGATTAAGAATGACTATGAAGAACAGCATGGTGGAATGGAGGTAACTTAACGATTCTCCCTCCCTTCCTTCCTTCCTTCCTTCCCTCTGCCTCTCTCCTCCCTTTCATCCATTCATCCATTTATCCATTTTTTTTCTTCCATTGCTTATTCTTTCACTTTTAAATCTTACAAAATCGAATTGTCGGCTTGTGTGATGTATCTAATTTCAGTCGAAACTCTTTGCCGTCACTAACGAATGCACCTCGCTAAACATGAAGCTACAGCAACTGCAGGAAGAAACTGAGAAAGACATCCAATCAAGAATACAGGTTAGTCGTCAGTATATTATATCGATCAACAGCAGTGGCGCAGCTCAAAGGTGTCGAACTGAAAGCACGTAAAGGCAACTCTGGCAGCCGCTATACATTCCATGTATGACCCCGGAGCACGGCTCTAGAAACCTTTCAAAATTATCCCAGATACGAGCTAACGAGAAATAATACAAAAGAAATCAAATTTTTTTCCCATGGAATCTATGGCATTTTATTTACATTTTACTGTACAATCGCATGCAAGATAATTTTGAAAAGGCTATATCAGTCGACCATTGTATTTTATGCCTTTTTGGTGTCATTTATTTTAGGACGCAATTGAAAAATACAAATCCTTACCAGCCGAACTAGAAAGTATAAGGGCTGTGTTGGATATGAAGAACGAAGAAATCAAACAACTGAAAAGAGAACAGATGGAGTCTAAGTTACAGGTAAAAACCATTTAAGTGTCAACCACGCTTTTTGCCTTTTTTGTTCCAGAATCTACCGGATTTGGCGTTTTCGGAAGCCATGATACTGAGTTGCAGTATTAAATGCAGCGTCTTGCATTTTCTCCCTTGTGTTTCTATTTTGTATCGTTTAATGACGTTGACTTGACTATGGCTGATTTACATATTCATCATTTCAGTTGGACCATCTTCGTAAAGTGGCAGAGCGCGCCAGGAAACTCGAGTTAGAGAACGAATCGCTATCATTTGTCGTAGAAAACAAGTCCAAATTTGAAAGGTAATGAAGATTTTTCTGGTGACTTCATGCCTCTCAGTTTCTCTGTCACGTATTTTGTGAGGTTTAGATTATTTTCCCGCTCTTTCTTGTAGACATTGGACTGCGTAAACCACAGGGAGCCCAAACTCGTTCATTGACCCACTCCTCCCCTTTGGAATTCTCAGTCAATGGGAGCACTTCTTTCTATTTTCCCCCGAGAGGGGAGGGTTACTATTACTGTATTAACATATTTTAACATGTTTTTCAGGCAATTATCGGTGGAGCACGAACAACTTAAAAGCAACCTTGATCGCGAATCCAAGAAACTCAAACGCCTTTCTCTCGAGAACGAAGAACTACAATGGCGCCTGTGTAATTCTTCGAGTCCTTCTGATGGCGGTATATCACCAGACGGCGAGTCACCGCCGAATTCAGCCAAACGACGTAGCTTCCGACTTTCGTCGTGTTCACCCGACGTCAACACGATTAATGAGTAGGACAATACAAACACATGTAGCACACTCGACAACTGGGAAAAGCTACTGCGCATGTTCGGAAAATTACGAATTACGAACGAAACAGCCGAACAGTTTATTATATAGATTTTTCAGTTTTCGGAAGAAGATGTTAGAATTGTTGTAGTTTTGGCATTTTCATTTATCGCTGTTTTTCCGGACATGCGCACTATAATCCCGCAACGTAGTTGTAGTCATCGTAAAACCAGCTAAAGATTCAATCTTTAGGTCCTTTGGGTCGTTTCTTTGGGAGATATTCAAATAAATCAATGACAGCATGTATAAATAGCTTTTAGTCATTCTCAGGAAGAATGAAATAACCAAATACGTGACCGCCATGTTGTTTAACTAATGTAACTAAAGAAAACAAAAAAACATCTTTCGATAAATTCTGCCAACACGGTGGCCGTGACGGGCAGTAATAATCATCCTATATTAGTGATTCAATCATTACTTGTACATAGTTCAATACCTATAGGAATGTATTGGGATAGATAACTTGATGTAGAATTGAATAAAGCATCGTAGACGATGCAAATATCAATATTGCAAATAGACCCCTTGAAAAGCAGCTCAGTCTGTGGGACAAAACAATAGGTTTCAATTCTCAAGAGACTGGAATTCTTTTGTTTTGTCCCCCAGATCGAGATGCTTTAACGTCACATGCAAGGGGTCTATATAGATTTGCTATTGCATTAATAATTATTCTAGAGAATTCATAGTAGTTTAGAATTTCAATCATATTGAGAAATTATGTRAATATTTACATGTGAATTATAAGTGAATAAGTAGCGATTTCAAATTTTCTCTGCTGTAATTTTCGGGGAGCAATATCATGATTATTATCTTTATAACTGGAAAACTTGGTAACCAATCAGAAACGCGCAAGACATCTCAGCCAATCATAGTACGCCATTACATCATAGCAACTTGAGTGACGCGGGAATTGTCTTGCGTTTCGATTGGCTAAGCAGGGAAGCCCTTTAAAAGTCACAGTATCCTGATTTCTTTTTCAGAAAAAATATTAATTCTTTGAATTTTCAAAAACGTAAAACATTTTCCATTCGAAAAAATATATATGGAATTCATGCTTTTTTCATTTTTCTTCTATACACTGGTTTTGATTAATTTTCTATGAGAATCGGAAATATTTTATTTTTGTATTGAGGGAACCAAGAACAAGCTGTATATTTATTTTTGTTTAATTAAGTTATCATTGGAAAGGTGCTTTTGTTTAAAAGGTTTGGATAAAGTAAAGTGTAATTAATAAGTAAAAATAAATTCTAAAAGCTTACTGTACAAAATAAAGAGTAATAAGTAATTAAATATTAAAGATGAAGAAGTCCTGCATTACAAACCAGAACAAACATGCTTATCAGATTTGCGTACCTTATGAAGGCCAGGACAACGGTTCAATGGCTGCGCTCAACGCTGTCCAAAACGTGTGCATGCAAAAAAAAATCTCGTCAATATGAAGACAATGCAATTTTTCTGTGTATCGGTCGCTAGTATTAGTTACTGGGTTACCTGTGGAAGCCCAGTCTAAAAATGCGTTGCATGTCTCCGTATTTTCCTGCGTCAGAAAATAGTACCCAGGGGTCTTCATGGCTCTACCAAAGAGTCCTTTACGGATATATGATACAGACATCCCGTGTAAAGTCTGATTTATATTCAAGTGACAGTTACCAATCAATGTCTAATTTATCAAAGTGATTGATTGGGGGTGGGGTCCGAATCACGTGTCGGGAATTAATGTCTACGCATATTCTTTTTTCGTTAGTTGCTAAAAATTCAAGAAAGTTCAGGATGCCGTGAAAAGTTCTTTCTTTTATTTGTCTACTCAAAATTTTAATTTAGCTTCTCAAAGCAAAAGCTCTATAACTTAAACTAGGAAAATATATAAGGTTTCAAATCTTCCCGTGATTGAACAAATTCCATGTTTAATAAATAAAGTTGGGGACCTTCAATTCTCTGTGGTAAATCGCCTTCACCTTGTTTAAGTCATTTTACTTGCCATATTGTTAGCGATTTAATCTGATGCTAGCGCTGATAAACGACTATAGAAAGGTTTGTTCGAGTTTTGAGTCTGGTTTGTGTTTTCGTATAGATTGAGCTTGACTTTTTTAAATAAATGGAACTGCCGCCTATTTTGTGTTTTGAAATTCTTGACCGGCTGCCGGTCATTTAGACACTCCTATATGAAAATACAAAATGGAATGGGTTACTCAAAAATAGAAAATGTTTCATTATTCTATATTCTATTATTTTAAAAATCAAAAGAGAAAAACGGAAAAAAGAGACAAAAGCGTGAGTAGGTATAACGTTTAGGTCACCCATCCAAGTACTAACCCTTCTCAGACGAGCTTGACCCAGTATCTTGAACGACAACGATTTATCCACTGGACCACGGTTCCAGGTGAATCAGCATAACAATAGCCGCGAAAACAAAGCTTCGAATAGACTAGACTTTTTAACATATTTTCAACCGATTCAGTGCGTGGCAGAGATGCAAGGGATTAGCCGATATGGTCTGGGGGCCGGCTGGTCTCTCCCCTGATGCTTTGGCTAGAACATTTTCTTGCGTAATTCGTGCACCCAAGGGCAGAAGGATTTAATCGCCGTCAGGTCCGAAGTCCATACGCCGCCTCAGCTCTGCGGATGTCTCGGGGGTATGGCAAAGTGGAATCGATTTTTTTGAATTTCTTTTGGTGGGTTCGAATCCCATCTTATCCATATTAGATATGATTTTTTTTTTTAATCCATTTTTTGTTAGATTTAAATTTTCGACAATAAGGCAATCTTTTTAGTGAAAAAAGATTTATTCCTAGGCGGTTGCTTATGAGTCTGTATAAGTTCGATCTGAGACGTATAAGCAATATCGATCAGCAAAACGTAAAGCTATGCTTTCCTGGATACTGACAAGAACATTTACTGCACTTGGATCTTTATATCATATGCCCGCAAAGGACTTCTGAGTACTATTGCGCAATTTCTGCATTTTATGACAAGGAAAATAAGCAGCCACCCCAGTAAATTATATGATAACAAATGATGGTAAAAAGATAATTGAGAACATTGGGTTTTTTGATCTTGTTGCGTTATGGCGCAAAATCCAATTCACAAGTAGTGTGACATGCATAACGAAAAACTGTGTATTTTATAGCCTAATAAGGGCATAACCTGCAATTACTTAAATGTTATGTAGATAACACCTTAAGGTGAAGAAAGATTGTCTTAGACGAGTTAAACGAAATCATTCTTTTCTGTGAAACATTTCATTATCTTTTGACTTACATTGTAAACTTCTTCAGAGCTGTACTAGGCCTCTGTGCATGATGCAGGCAACCCAGTTGTGGGCTAATAAGCCTGCACATGCGCCAGTTTGCAAGACATAAAATGGCAAAACCATATTTGCGGTAAAATAAATGACAAACAAGATTGGTCGAGTTCTGAGGACAAACCAGCTAAATTGCTTCATTCGAAGCCTCCGGCATTAGAAATATTAGAGTTTTCAAATGGTTATGGCTAGATGGGATACTCGCAGTCCAGGTGATTGAGAGAGACTGACAATTATGGGTGATTGAGTTAGCCATATTTAAATACATAAATATTTATCATAGCTTAATTTATGCTATCGTACGACTACTAGACGACTGAATAAAATTCCTCTGACAATTATACTCTCCCTAGTCTCTCTCAATCACCTGGACTGCGAGTATCCCATCTGACTGAAAGAAGGAACGGTGGCCGTGGAGCAGTGGACACGTATCAAGGAATGTGAAATACTTAGGCTGGAAAAATGCGGGAAAATGGTAAGCTACTTTAGGGAATTCCTAGTTGAATACGCCCACTCTTTGACAATTTATATCTACTTTAAGTGCAGGGTTTGAAATGAGAAAAAATTACTAGAAAATAAGAACTAAACTCCAAGATTATCACACTAAACTATTATTTATTTTCTTCCACACGTACAGTTGACAAATATTTCAAGTTTACACCGTTAAAAACCAAACTAAAGTAAAAACTAAAATAAATATTTAATAAAATAGCATAACACTTTCATAAAATAATAATAAAATAATATCAATACTTTATTCTAACAAACGACAACTAAAAATGAAAATCACTATAAGCTTACTAATGATTTCGAATTTCAAAATGAATTCATATGTTTTATAAGCTTATCATATTACTCCCCGTTATATATTAAAGACAAGTAGAAGACTACAAAATAATACAGTGAGTAGCCTACATTTTAAAATTTTCTCATTTTATTCAGACTTTTTACATCCTTCTTTTGGACAGCTAGGGAAAACGTCTTTAACAGGTTGAATTCCAATCATGAGAATATGCCTGTCATAACAGACAGAGTTCCTGAACAAGATATCGGTACCATGAAGTCTGTCCAGAACTCCAAGTACACCATAATTCTGGTTAAACCTAAAAAAATCAAACGAGATATTTTTAGCACATGCGATAAAAGAGTGTTCCTTTTTACCAAGAAGCAGTGGCTGGTAGGATATTGTTGGTGTATGTACAAAAGAACTTGTTCAAAGTGTCGCTGGATAATATATTTCTTATTGACCACTTTTTATACCTCAGTTAAATTCACTATACAGGCGTACGTGCCAAACATGGTATGGTTTTCAGCGATTTTACTCTGATTTTAATCACACTCCCACTGGGACAGGGTATATGAAATCACGCTCTCTCCTCTCTGGAATGGGGTATCTATTTTCAAAATACAGCAACTGGGTATGGTTTTCAGTTATCTTGCCCTGGAACAGGGTATTAATTTCAGTGATTTTACTCTGGAACAGGGTCACGGTTCAGAGGGCTCAGCGGCACATCCCTACCCTAAACAGGCAAGAGTACCCCCCGCCCCCCAGGTTAAATGGTCAGTCAAATACAAATATGATCAAGGCTGCAAGTTTTTTTCAAAGGATTATTCAAACTCTAAGCTTGTGTTTGACCATTGTACCCACGTATGAAAGGAGGTGAATAGAGGGGAAAAGTTAGGGGGAGGAGAATATTACAGACTAACATGCAAAAGAAAAAAGTGGGAGAGCTATAGCCCCACAAACACTCCCCCTCTGCAGTCACCGTGAAATGAAAAAAGTATCCAATCGCACTTACTTGAGATGGTGAAAGTCGTGGGCTTCAGGGGAAGGCAGAAATGGGAAGTGATATCCACTATGAGAGATGTTGGTTGACGTAATAGCCAGACAGAACCACATCCAGGTGGTTGCTATATGAGATCCCATTATCATTGGACCCATCAAAATGGGAGTGAGGTTCGAGATTATGTGTTCCAAGGGGTGTGCGTAGATGGAGACAATGCCGATGGGAGCTGTCCACTCATGGTGCTTCTTGTGGAAGTATTTGTAAAGTTTGGGGTGATGGAAAAGCCTGTCAAAGAGAACTGATTTATGTATTTTTTCTATTTTTCCCTTCTTCATTATCCATTGTTTTACCATTTACCTTTAGAACCATATCACTTTGTTTCTTCTCATCCTATTTCTTATCCTATACATCCCATATCACATGAATCTTATTTCACATTTCTTCCCATTCCATTCCTATATTTATTTATTTAATCATAAATTATTTAATCCCTTAACATTCAATGGTTCATTATTCTATTTCCCTGTATCACTTCATTTCACCCCATCACATCAAATCTCATTTTATTTCATCTCATTACTTCAATCTACTTCATCTTTTCTTATCCCATTCTACTCTTTCACATCCTCTGAGTACATGGTACCCAAGTTTCATGAAGTACAATGAACTGAGTAAAAGTACAGTTGCCGTGCCACGGTGACTGCAAAAGACTGTACCAACCTGTGGGAATAGTAAAAGCCAACTTCCTCCACAAGAATGAACACCAGCAATTCAAACAAGACCCACTGGAATGATGGCAGCTCACAACCAAATGATCCTCCACGCCACAGGTAAACAGGATACATGACAATGGTCAGAAGAAACCCAAGAAATTGGTTGAATAACACACCCTTGATGGCCCGCATTAGCTTCGATTTCTCAAGCTGCCACAAGTAGAAATTTAGGAACAAAAATATATCAGATTTTGGAAATCTATTAACTGTTCTTATAGGAAAACATACATACTTCATTCATTAAAACAAAATAATATTCAGATCCCCTAAAACACAAGATTTTATAAAGCAACTACTGGACTATCTCATTGTAAAGTCATCAGATCTTCCCTGACACCATGGAAGTGGGAGAAGCTCTTAGCCAATCAGAATGCCTTATTCCTAGGTAATTTAGGGAGGAACCTGAGGAATGCAGTGGGTGCACACCCACTCTAGATGAGTTGATATCTAGTGCGTTATTGGTGCTTGAGTTTATTTGTGGACGTCCAGAACATAAATAGTGCACCCCCTCCTAAAACAAATCCTGGATCTGCCCCTGCTCTCTCTCTCACTCAGTCTCTCTCTCTCTCTCTCTCGCACGCACGAATATCCTGTCACTCAAAAATCCAATGCCACCAATCAAAAGAGGGCTATGGAAAACTAATGGAAATTTTACCATAGATGGATGTTACTACGGTTTTGATATTCTACAAACTCGACAGTTGCAAGCTGCATGCTGAAATGTGATATTTCGCTGCTGTCAATTACGAATAACCAGTCAGTACCCTTTATGTTCTTGACTGGCAGCAGTAAAAGGCAGATTTCAYAACAAAAAGCTGTTGAAATATCTGAGTTTGCAGAATATCAAAAACCGCAGGAAAATGTTTATCAGAAATTTACATTTCTTTTTTACTTACGGGCTGGTTTTGGCCATCTTGGATCTTGTACTTCAAGGCCCACTTGGGTTTGCCAGTCAGATCAATGTACAACAAACAACAATTTATGACCCAAAAAACCACAAATGTTACCACAAATGTACCTAGGTAAATCACAAAAATACACGATTATTTAATGGATTACTTACAGTGTTTATATCACTGTTTAGCAAACATACCAACTGTGAATAACATAAAGTCATTTCCACCAAAAATCGAGAGGATGATTTTCCAGTTGCTTTGCCAAAATTCTCCTGAGGCTCCCCAGAGTTTTTCAAAATGCCTGCAAGACAACAATATGAAAATATGACAACATTTAGTTGACAAAATAATACAACAATATCTAACATTTTGGAAGCTTGTTGCAACAATTAATAATAAAATTATGCTGCCAATTCTAATGCAATTTTCATAAACATGCAAACTCTGTGTCACCAAGTTGCACACTGAAATTTATTTTTTGTTTGTTTTTTTTTTGTTTTTTCTGCTGTTGCCAGTCAAAAATATGAAAGGTACTGACTGATTAGGCTTGATTGATGGCAGCGAAAAACCAAATTTCAGCATGCAGCTTGCAAACAAAGAGTTCCCATGTTTATAAACATTTCAGTAACTACAGATACTATGGAGGTATAAGTATTAGTGGAGTTTGGTATGTCTCTCTCTATTTTAGGGTATTTCTCCAGGTTCCTTAGCTTTCATTAAAAGAAACTCAACACATAGACCAGAGGTTGTTTCAGGGTTCTATCTGTAAGTTAGGCATACTCTGACTTAGATCAACCCAGTGGTTGTTTTAGGGCTTGATAAAATTGATGATTAATCATAGGAATCACAAGGCTAAAAGCATTTTATGATGTTAAATAACCATGTTTCTTACCATGTTATTGTGTTCCTTGCAGCAGCGAAACAAATAAGTGCAGTGCCGACAATGAAAGCTGTCTTCTTGATGGATTCGATAACTGACTTAGCCTTGATAAGAAGGTAAGAAAAATTAGCTATATATGAATATCACAAAAACCACTTTGCATAATAAATGGAATACTGGTTCAGGGATGGCAGAACAGCTTTTAAATGTGGGGGGTGGGGGGGGGGGCAGCTACAGTCCTCCCCTCCCTATCCCACCCACCTACCCCACTGCTCCCTTAAAATAATTCTAGACAAAATAAAAATATTCTCATAAAAATTCACGTGGTGTTTTTCTAACAACATAAATAAAAATAAATAAATCACTTTTTTATAGTGGAATATGAATTCAGTTATGATTCTGGCTTCCATCACTCACACACACTGCCATTATGACATTAGATATGCCAGTGCATGATGCTTGCAGATTTTTTAAGCATTTAAATATAATGCCACTTGTGAGAATAAATATGTTGCTGCTGCCATACCTTGGTTGGTGGTATATTTGAGTCTTTTGGTTTGGCCCAGTCAGGCAAGGGAACTTCATCTGGGTACTGTGGTTCTACTTCAGTCATAACTGCATAAAGCTGAAAACCTATAAAAGAATTAATGAGAAAAAAGGCGATCTGTTGCCAAAAACTGATCTTTTTTAGTTGATCCGAGAGGGTGCAGTTAACAGACTAGAATGATTTTACTTCGCCTGTGAAAGAATAGAGTGAAGTCATTAAACCCGTGAAACAGATATTATACTAACACACTTTAGTAGACCTAAATTCCATTGCATTTTCTTTTGTGTCTATTTGGCTATTACACGTTGACTAATAATTTTTATTTCACGGGTTAAAGGCCTTCGCTCTAGCCAACGTAATGCTTAGTAGTACACACTTATTCTATTGTTTTTCTTTTGTATTACTTTGCCTGTGTATTACTTTCACGGGCCGAGAAAAATTCACTCTATAATTTATTTTGCAATTTCTTTCCAGTGAGTTAAAACTAAGACATTCTGAGATTTCAACTACAATCACTTATAAGTACATAGATAATTCCAAAAAAAGTACAGTTTTATTTTAATTGTAAAATAGTAAACATATTATGTACAGCTTACATCATAGAGGGTTTGATGCACCATACACACCCTTCTCGGGCTCGGCTACTTGTATATTACTATTCAATAGGCAGTTCTTTATCCAAGATTTGGATAATGATCATTCAATTGGCTTAGTTTAATTCTTTCAGTTTTTCCAAAGCAAATGTATAATCAATTTTTCGAAAACAAAATGTTCAAAGCTCACAAAACGATAGCATTTCTTCGCACAAGTCTTTTAAGCTGAACATCATCGAAGGAAGGTAGAAAAAGATTCCTGTGCTCCTGTGTTGATTTTTATTATAACATGCTATTTATTGTTCAAAAAAATACTCCTGTTATCAGTGTAAGGATGTTTGTACACTATACAATCAATACACTATACAATCACGTACAATACTTTGAATGAAAATATACGCTCAGCACAACGACGACAGTCATCTTGTCAAAAAAAACACCAGAAATTCTTCGAAAATCTAAAACACAAATAACGATTTTTACCTAACAATGGTTCATCAAGCTCTCCGACGTCTTTATGTAACAAAGAGGCGACGAAATAGTGGAATGAATGGCTAGAAAACAGTAAATAATCAAGGCGATCTTTCTCTTCTTCCCTGTTGTGTTGTGGAGGTGTATTTGTTTTAATCGCGTCACATGACAAGTGATCAAAGTCCATCGAACACAGGTAGCCCAAAACAGACATACGAAGGTCATTGAAGGTCGCATCTGAGACCGGGAGGGAGGAGAGAGTGGGGAACGACAGAAACGTGATAGAAATTTGATATATTTGAGGGCAAAAATGCGTTGTTTTTTTTTGAACGGGATTAGTTCCTTTACGAAAAATATTTTTTAAAGAGTGCGCGCGCGTCATCTGGAACGCGAGATTACGCGCGTGCCCTTGCGACTTAGTTTCGCGCCGTTAAAAGACGGCGCATGGGGAGAAAATAATCTTTATACGAAGGGCCAACAAAGACAGAAAAAAATTGAGTTGAAATCTTCTAAATTTGAGGAGAATACAGTTCATTGTTGTGGTTAATTCAGTGTGGCCACATTAGAGGTGCAGACAAAAGAATGAAGAAAGAAGGCTCGTGCAATGAGTATGATGAGCTCGTGCCTAAAAGTCAACGCCAAATGCGATTTTTAAAAAATTCACGACACAGACTTTTGTTAAAAAATCGAGTTGTTGGTCAGTATTCTTCTTCGTTCACGAGAATATGAAGTAATATCTTGTCTTCGTTCAAGATGCATAAGATCATTGCTTTGGCGTTTGTTATTGGCCTGGGACTTTCTGAATATTTCGTGATTAACGATCCTCAGACATATCTCATCACTACACCACCCAAAGCTGGTACGGAAAAAGGTCTAAAAACATGTTGAAAACGTTACGAAAAATATGAAACTCACCTCCCACATTTTATTATCTTTACCTTACATGTAACTCAGATAGCGCCTAAGATCATCAAAATTTCCCTTGTAATTCTCTCATTTATTGTACTCTTTCTGCTAAAAGGTTCTGCATGGCGACTTTGGAGACGACCAATCAGGTATATTCTAAATTCGAGGATTTTTCAACAACTTCTGTCTTGGTTCACGGGACGTGCGAGGAAAGTTACTGAGAATGGAATAAACTTGACAACTGTTGACGACATCCAGGGAAATTCTCCGATAGGTTTCTCAGAACAATCAGAAGAAGGTATCAAAGTCACTTTAAAGTTTATACTTCTCATGCTTGTGTAAATTCAAACTAATTTGTCTATATACTGTCAGGAGACGGCTAACTCACAGATCAACCCTGAAAACCTGAAACAACCTCTGGGCTGATCCAAGTCAGGGCAAGGCTAACTCGCAGATAGAACCCTGAAACAACCTCTGGGCTGATCCAAGTCAGGGCACGGCTAACTCACAGATGGACGGATGAAAACCAGAGAACGCGCGCGGAGAACACTTCTCATAAAGGGAGAGACTTACYCGCTTTACTCACGGCATGTGATGCTGAGTCCAGGAATCAAACCCAATTTAGAACCAGGAGAAAAACCCTTGAATCGAGGGAGAGACCTAACAAACTCTACTCACATGTGATGCTGAGTCATGCTGAGTCCAGGAATCAAACCCAATTTAGAACCAGGAGAAAAACCCTTGAATCGAGGGAGAGACCTAACAAACTCTACTCACATGTGATGCTGAGTCCAGTAATCAAACCCGAGACCCCAGAGGTGAGAGGACAAAGCACTACCGCAACATGCCGCACCATCCTTGATGTCACTCCCGCATCTGACATAAGTTCATACCACTTTAAAATAGCAACTACAGGTACATTTTAGTCTGAACGTCTAGATCACGTGGTTCTACTTTCTTCACAGACAAACGTTCTAACCCCCCGGCTGATCTTGACGACTACCTCAATGACCCAGAAACTTTCATGGCTACGATGCTGCTGTTTATTTGTGGACTGCTTATAGAATTAGGTGTCATTGGTTATTTCTTCATCTACCCCATTTATCTGGATAGGTAGGAATTGCATTTTCCAGGCATGGCAGTTTAAGAGGTTAAAGTGCTTTACAAGCGCGAAATCGTACAAGTTGCCGTCGTAAAACAATAAGCCATTCCGAAGATGGACAAGATGGGGAAAAAGTGGCGTTGCACTGCATTTTAGGGCTGTCTTAGGGGACATATAGACACCTTGCATCGATTTCAAATGGGAATTGTTCTGGGGACAAAACAATAGGCTGTCTTTTCTTATGCAAATAATGCATTATTATCCTCTCGGCACTCACCAACAGGCGTCTTTTCCGTCCCCTATGGGGACAAAACAGCCCCACAATGCATTGCAATGCCAACTCGACCCAGTTTTTTCAACGGGACGTGCCTTTGGAATTTCATGGAAACGAATTGATTCACGTCCACCAAAGCAGCCCTACCTTGTTTCGAACACGTTTCCGCGCGTGATATTGAGAAGCACTGTAGACTTTTCGCAATCTTCATTTCCATTGTTTTTGGTACCCAGGTATTCAGACAAAAAGGACAAGACTAGGAGACGTAAAAATCCCCGACGCATCAAAAAAGTTCGCAAGAAGCCGAAACGAACGAACAAGATCACCTTTTGAGTATGTATCTTTTCTTAAAGTCAACGCCCACAGACACTTCTATATCATGATATATTATCAATATTTAATATATAGATATGTGATTGAATATTATTATTAAAAAATTACATCTTTTGATATAAATATAAAACTATTGCGTTATGTATATACTAAGGTATGAATAATTTCAATTCTGTAAAATATTCAATAGGTATTCGATGTCATCTTTGTAAAATTCCAGGCGCCTGCTCTCTTTGTTAAGAAATACACTCACCATTATCGCAATGGAGTGTGGGATATGATTGCCATTAGCAACATGTTGCAGAAGTTTCATTCCGGTTCCAATGTCTTTAATAGTTTCAAGTTTATCTTCGCTCTTTATCAGGCCAAAATAAACCAGAATTGATTGCCCTAGTTCAATCTCCCTATATTTTGTTGATTCCAAAGCTTTTATAAAAAGAACTTTAGAGCAGTGGTCAGCGATTTCCCAGTATTCTCCAAGCGCAAGGACATCACAGATTCGCTTTAAGCCTTTACCTAGCACATTAGCGTCTTGATCCTTTAGCTGTGGAAGGATTTCTTTGAGAAGGGCAGATTTGAGGGCTTGACTGTGAAGATCTCTCAAATGAGCAAAACGAGGGCTTGGCTTGGCTAGAAAAGAAACAAATAAACTCGCAAGGGATCTTGGGAAGTAGTCTTGCGTAAAGACATGTTTTAGCGCTTCGAAAGGACCTTTAAGGTTTTCTATTATTTCTATTCTAAACTCGCTTTTCAAAAGACCCATTCGCACAAGAATACAAGAACTTAAAACGGTGTTGCTAATGTCATGTCGAGAAAGCACGAGTCCAAGAAGAATATCAACGAAGCGAAACAGGGTTACCACTTTATCTTCGAGTATTCTGCAAAGCAGCAAAAAAATCGCTGCAATTCTTTCTTCGTCCCAGATTTTTTCCTCGCAAGAGATTGCTCTGTTCAGCGCAAACTCGAGAAAATTAGTTCGACTCGTGAGGATTAAATTCATGCATTCTTGATGCGCCATGATGTTGTCCAGTACAGCTGCTACGAAATGCACAGGGCATTTATCGTATCGCACAACATGATCAAGAGCTTCCAAAAAGTTTCCAAGATCAATTGAATGGACTTTAGATTTGACTCCACAGTTTGACAAATTACAGCAAATGAAAATCTTATTTGTCAAATCTTTAAATTCTTCTTGTTCTTTGAAAGAAATTTTGTCACAGAATTTCTCTAAAATTGCGTAAGCCTCGGATGGTTGATTTTTGATTGCACAACATGCTTTGATAAATAGTTCCACTAAATCTTCATCTTCGCACGTATTATTCTGAGGCCTCCATTTTTTTCCATTTTGAAGAAAACCTTGACACAATTCTTGTTTATCGCATTGGAGAGCACTGTTATTTGAGCAGGTAGAAATAGCATCATTCATCGACAATTTCAGACCTTTTAAGACTTGTGAAATGATTTTCTTTGATTCACAGCCACGGTTTGTTATTTGAAAGCCATTCCTCAACCACCCATTCATAACTGCTTTATCTAACATCCATGGAGGAAAAAAGTCTTCATCTTTCAATTTTACGCTCAATAAAGACACTGGCATCAACCCTAGAATAGAAGATGATTCTTCCTTACAGCGGACGAGTGCTGAAAATTTCAACGCCTTATCAACTCTTACTTCTCGGTCATGTTTTAGTTCTGAGATCTTCGTGAGAAGTTTGAATAGTTCCCCTGAATCTATTGCGATTCTAGTTGTGCTGTGCAACGCATTCACGCGATATTTTTTGTCTGAAAAATTATCATCAAATTTGTTATTTTCAAGAAGCATTTCTGGTTCATTTACACCAGGATATTGAAAACTACTTAAGGATTTCACCAGGCGTTCACTTTTATTCACGGAGCATCCATTTTCACCGCTTTTGTTCAAGATAATAGACGAAAGTGGCACACATTTAGAGATGTAATTCTCCTCTGTTTTTTGGACGTCGAATTGTTCACTCGATGCAACATCTTTTGATGTTTGCTTTGATGTTTTATTTGTTAAAATTTCATTTGTTTCCCAAGTTTCTATCTCTCCATTCACTTTTTCCCCTGCTTTTTCCTTCATTTGTTTTATAATATTTTCTTCTTGTGCAAGTTTTGTATCGATAGTTCCATTGTTGTTTTCAAATTCAAACATTTCTTGTTCTTTTGCCGAGTTCTCAATATTTATAACTAGTTCGTAAGAAGCCGTTGTGCAAATTTGAAGCTGGGTAACTCTCGGTTCCTCATCGACCAAAATTCTAGTTTTCTCTATCATGTTTTCCAGGTTCATTTCGCAGACAAAAATCTCTGGCAACGTCAAGCTACTACTGTCAACTTTTGTCGTTTCGTCTTTTTGTTCTGCTTTTAAATCGTTATCGAAGTTTTTGTTTGCTGACATAGAAGATCCATTCAATAAAAGTTTTCTGCAGTTATCAAGTCGTTTTTCCACGCTGTCCTCCTTGTCTTCAGATGTTGTCAGATTCCGTTTTTGTGGCACGTAAGACAGCAAGAATTCTACACATTCGTCACGGTTTCTTGCTCTCGCTGCATCAACAGCTTTCATCCCAAACTTGTCTTTAATCTCCCGGTCGCATCCCGCGTCCAGTAAGATTTTCAGATATTCTAGATTTCCGCTCCTTGCGGACAGGTGAAGAGCAGTTCGACCGACTTTATTTCTGATGTTAATGGTAGAGTCTGAGGCAGCAAGATGAGTGAGGACTTGGTCATTGTCTTGGATTTCGACGGCTATGTGGAGTGAGGACATCCCTTCCTGAATAAAGGAAGAGGCGGATACTATGATCATCAACAAGTGTGCGAAAACGGAACTTCGGAAAAAAATTGGTGGAAAAAACTGGGGGACTCTTAAAAGTCTTAATAGCGAAAGGATTACAGAACCCACCTTAGTCAAGCTCTCGACATTACTTCCGGCACTGATCAACCGATCAACTGCTTCAACGGCCTTCTCCAACGTTGCAACATGAAGTGCGGTAAAGCCATTCTCGTCTCTTTGCTCTAAATCACAACCCGTCTTCAATAAAAAATCCATGTACTCTAAATCATGTGATATGACAGCCTCGTGAAGGGCAGAGTAGCCATATTCACTTCCTTGGCTGCCACAGTCACTCAGGTCCGACACACTGCACTCGGATTTGGCCTTGAGGCGGGAACCGATTGGTGTCAGCGCAGACRTGGCCAGAACCTCCCGCGCTTTTTCTAACACTGACTTAAGGTTTTTGGGACTTTTGAGCCGGCATAGAGGCTTGGCAGTGGCTCCTGGAATATCCTTGAAATAAAAAACAATGCCATATCAAATACATTAAATCACTGTGAAATAACAGCAGAGCATAAGTTCATAATATTCACCGGAACGAAAACCTTTTTTTCAGTAAACTAGATACTAATCAAAACAGTTGTATCACATTTATGTAAAAACTCCATGGCTACGCGAAAGCCAAAGATAATGACTTGTGAATTATAATTCATGATATATGATAAAATAATTGGTGACAAAGCGGTTCATTGCGCCACTCGCGCCGTGCTACGAAGACCTTAACTGCCGCGGTGTATCTATGACTTTCCATGGTCTTTTTTCGACATGTGGTACAGCTTTCTGCTTGGTTTTCACATTCGAAAAGTACTTTTTGCAGATAGCATTGGGTACGACACTMCAATACTGGCTACTCTACGAATAACGTAAGTTCTATCATATACACAAACATAAAACGGTTTGAAACACTTTTAAGCTGTGATATCCTGATGGGGCAATAGAATGAGAGTGAAAATTTACTCATTTATGTCTTTCGGTTCTCAATTTTAAATCTATTCAGAGTAACTACAATTCAAACTACATACCATCTTTAACGTTGTCATTTTGTAAGTACGTTTTGGGGTACGTTTAACTTCAATCATTCAATCGTGCAAACACAAGCTTAAAATATCGAAAAATGCTTTAAATTATTGCATACGGAGCCATAATTCAGTTTGTACGCCGTAGAGACTCGAGAGGAAGTTCACATTTGCCATGTTTGAAGTCGTGTTTGTAGATTTTGCAGATTAAAAACGTGTTTAAAGACATATTATCTGAGGTCATGTATTTGGGAATGCTTCTACGTAGCATAAGAAAGCTCTACGGTATCCCAACAATGCGGGCGTCGAAGCCAGAAGGATAAATCATAGTTAGTAAGCTAAGACGGATGATTCATCGACTCATTACACTCACATTAAAGATATAGGTCTTGTGAGGTGAGAAATGAAAGATAAAAGACAGGACAAACATATTTCTGGCTAGGAATTTGTAAAGGTCAACAGCCATGTTCATTAAACTCGTGTTTGTGTTTGTTACAAAGGTTCAACAACGTGTCAGTTACAACTTACCTTTTGGAAGAAAAATGAGTTCGTTCACATGAAGTTTTCTTCCAACTCCCTTTGTTTCTTCTCTAGTGTACAGGACCTTTTACTCTTGTTCCTTCGCCTAACTCTTAGAGATATTTTACATAGTGTTTGTACCATTTATGGGTGTTTAGTTACAACGTTGTTTAGATGGACGCCGCACTATGATATTGTTTGTTTTGTGTTGACAATCATTATCAGGCTGAGTTAACAATTAGCCCAAATGTACAAATCCTCAAGTTCGTCTGTGGCCTAAATGATTTGTAAACTCTATTATTATTATTCTTGTAACCTCAAGACGTGTTTGAAGCTATTAACGTGATAAGTAATATTAAGTTCCACTGCCAGAGCACGCGACGAGAAAACGCCGCAAAACGCAATACTTTGGTTAATAAACAACTCGTAATTTAAGAATTCTAAAACAATTGTACAAATTAGATTTGTATAATTAAACGAGTTTTTAAGAAAGGAAATCCGAAATATAATCTGTGGTTATTTAACATCGTTAGCACGTCATAAACGATAATCGTTTTTCGTTCAGTTTATTCAAAGCGCAAAAGCATTCGATTATTTCATAATGGGCAAAAATACATCCAATTTCTATTATTGAGCATTTAAAACGCCTTGTGAACAAGTTGGCAGTAAAAAAAACTTAAATTCCGACATCATTCAACCATAAATAGGTCAACAGATGGAATTTCCACTGCAAATTATTACAACTACTGGGTATTTTTTACAAACGTTATGCAGCACCAAAAATATGTGTCACTTACACTGTATCTCTTCATCCGTGATCTTATTAGTGACAAGATAACTTGTAAAGAGGAAACAAATTACCTACCATCTAGTTTGAAGCTGTTTTTTTGCAAAGGAGATGCTTAGTTTGCGTAATGATCATTGCAGATTTGAGGCGAAAGACAAAGAAAAAACACATTGCGCCACCTTTGAAGGCTAATTTACAAGTTTTCTTCTAAGTGGTCAAGTTGAAGCCGCAGATTCTGCCACTTTGAAGTTATTGGATGAATCTTGCTAACCAATGAAAACAAACTATATTCGAGCTACCAGGTGATGGTCTGCAGTCAGTAGAACATCTGTGCATCATGGAATATCTGTAAGCACATCATTACTATGTTGGGATGAGTTGTGCAGCCGAAGTTTTTTCAATGCATCGAAACGATACACAAATGCGAAAGCCGCGCGCGCGATCCGGAGGCAAACTACGTCTCGAAAAATGTGAAAGGTCAAGAAATAAGTCCTCAAAAGATAAAGTAGTATGGTATTAAGCTTAATTGTCCAATCTTAGGCCGAGAATCATACATTGGTTTTAAAATGAAGAGAAAATAATAAAAAAGGGAAAAAAATGGAAAAAAGAATGGTCAGTCCGCGAGAGTCTGGTGTCTAATTTGATGGATACTAACCGCTGTGCATTAGTATCGTATCATTTTTCCATGATGGCCGTCTGATCCGCGTGGCTCCGATTCTCGTGAAAACTTCTTCTTTTCAAGGCTTTAAACGTCTAGAATTCATCGCCATCCCAACAGTATGAGGACYTAAAACCAAGACAATTTACCAACCACCATCGAGGCCCAAAGAGCCCAATTCAAAATGCCCACAAAGGTTCCCAATAGAAAGAAAAAGCCCGGTCTTCTCGGGACGACGACGAATGGAGGTGCTGGCAGTTTCAACGATTCCGCTATGGACGAATTTCTGGCCAAAAGAGGACTTTACCGTAAGCCTATCGCCAAGGACGGCTCTTGCCTTTTTAGAGCAGTGTCTGAGCAGGTGAGCTAGAGTATTAGAAGCTTTGTTGTTGTTCTTTTGTGAGAGGACCGTTTGACTGGGTCATTTTCGCTGATAAATGAATTTTTAACCTTTCTCCATGTGGTAATAAGAGCGCCTTTCAAAAACCCTTGCTTCCTTCTAATCTCGTTAGTTACCTTTATTTAAGGGAAACATTATATCATTTTGCTCCTACGACGTGACAAAACTTTAAAAACGTCAAAAATGAATAAAATACGCATAAAATGCTTCTATACACACGAATGTTAAGAACACCAATTATAGTATTTGATAAGCTTTTCTTAGAACTCGAGCTTAAAAAAAATTATTAATGTAAAATTTTAATTGACATTTGATACGATAGTAATAATATTCACAATATCTTCAACCATTTATACTTTCGACTTATCTTAATTTATCCTAAATTGCAGTGTTTGTCGTCTATTTTTGTCCAGTGTTATTCAATAGTGATGTCATCCCTTATACCCTCCATGCAAATATTCTTGGTTAAATTTTTCAGCGCTCGTTCGTTCTTTGGCGTAAAAGAAAACAAGAAAATAAACTATAGATATACAATAATTCTTTTGTTGGATCATTTTCAGGTTCACAATTGTCAAGCTAGGCATCTAGATGTCAGGAATCAATGTATTGCCTTCATGCGCCAAAACAGAGGCCTGTTTGAAGAGGTAAACTTATTCCAATCTAAAGGCTTTCACTTTCATGTTTACGAAGTCATGAGAATACTTAGAAACCTTTTCTAAAGTTGTCTAGCTTTTTTAGTGTGATTTGGTTATAAAGAAGGTTTTGATTTTATGAAAAAGTTTAAGTATGTACTCAATGAAATTGAAAAAAAAAAAATGCTGATGATAAGGTCAACATCTTGATTGCCAAGGGTAAAAGGGAAAAAGTCCGGTTTTTTTTTAATTTGAAAAACCATTTGCTGATTTTGTAAATATGTTTTCAGTTTGTTGAAGGACCATTTGATCACCATCTTTTCAAGTTGCAAAATCCAAAGGTGAGTTAGACTTGATCTAATCTTGTTATTGTCTCCCACTCCACCCCCCTCAAAAACAAATTCTTCAAAAAATTTAGTATTTCTAATCTCATAAGCCAACATTTCTAATCAAGATTTCTAAATTCTTGAATACAGTATTTACACTCTCTTCATGGTTTATCTGTGTTTGATTTAGGAATGGGCAGGCCAAGTAGAAATCACTGCACTCTCCCAGATGTACAGGTTAGTGTTGTAGATAGTTTATCCCACTATTCGCCAGTGAAAAAATAATAATGACACCTGTCTCCTGTTTAAAAAWTTTTTTTTTTTAATAAGAGTTACAGGAGCTTTTTAGGACCACAGACACAGTAAAAACTATTGAAATTATGTGTCAATAATTCAGACAAGTGCAAAATATAATTTCATTTAGTTCTATTAATATTCTGTCTTCAAGAAGATCATAGACTACTTCTGATAAAGAAACACATATAGTCTGGAGTAAATGCAAATCTTATTGATTATAATTTTGTTGAATAAAATTAACAATTGAAGATGGCTGATTAACCATGGTATTAACTTGTTCTGCATGGTTCCTATTGTATCATAATTTCATTTGTTAAGACTTTGTCTTTTATTGGTCATTGATCTTGTTAGCAAAATAAACAAATCATTGTATATATTTGCAGTCCTATTTTGGCAACTACACTGCATGTTTTATTCTAAATTAGGTTAAATTTTAATGTTTTTACCCCAACATATTAGGTTTTCGAAATATTCTATAAGTGGATTGACTAAATAAAATAAAAAAGTCACATGACAGAAAAATTTGGGTGTTTTTCAACTGTATCATAGATTTTAAGACATTAAATTTCAACGCTCAAGAGACTTTTTCCTCCAAATTGAATTCCATTGGCAATTCCTTAATCAAAACACTGCATTCACCCAGATTAAAAGAACAACAGCCAGATCATGTTTTGTTTTGGATTTATGGAATATTCATTTATTTCCAGGAAAGACTTTGTGGTATATCAAGACATTAACTCGTTACCAACTAAAGTCACAGACCATGGTTATAAAGACAAGGTAGAAACCTATAACAACTATGAGGACGTAACTTTTATCAGGGTTGTCAATAAAATTTTTGGTAGGCGGTTATGAAATTGAAATAGGCGGTAAAACAGAAATCACTGGAACATGTAATCAAGGCATACTTGTCACCAGTCTCACTCTTCTCACAAAAAATTCAAGATGGTTGACAACGATCGTTGTAGTTTCGATTGCGTTGTAGTTTTCGTAGTACAGCAACAAAGATTGGGTTAAAACATATCTTATTCACAAACTTTGCTAGTCTAAAGAACTTTAATCAAGATTTATAATTACATTGTTAAGTGACTGAGTAGGTGGCTGAATTAGGAAGAGTAGACAGCAGAATCTGCTGGTTGCTGGCTTCTATTGACAACCCTGTTTTATGTAATCTAACTTAGATAAATGTCATTTTTAATACCCAAAATGTTATTGGTTTATTATTAACAAATTTTTAGAATTTATTTGGGCCTTTTCTGAGATATTGAATGATGGTGCATTGTGGTCTAGCTTGGGTACCTATATCTTTTGTTCATCATGCCTTATTTGGTGTTATTTGTACCAAAGGTAGACCACCATGCATCCTGTTTATCGAAATCAGAAAGAGCCTATAGCAAACAGCTTTAATGAGAGCAAAGAAGTATTTTGGTGCCATTCTTGTGTGGATGAGACCATGCAAATCTGACTTCATGTCCCCTCAATAGATAATTACTCTGCAGCCCCTACTTCGTACTTGTTTGAGTATGACATATTTGTTAGTGATGCAAACAGTAGTGAGGATGTTCGATGCTATTTTCTATCTTATTTTCCAAACAGATCCTTCTGTGTTACTCCAATGGAAACCATTACGATATTATTTATCCAAACAAGTTCCAAGAACATGCTGCCATGTGTCAATGTAAGTACAACATCATCCATAGTATATCAGTCCTAAACAGCTAGAAATGTTTATAAATCTTTTTAGCTTACATAATGTTTTGCCATTTCAATCCATGTGTTATGAAGAAAAAACTCCTGAAAAAAGCCTAAAGTTATTTGTGTAAAATTTATCTTAACGAAATATTAATTCCACAGCTCTTTTGTATGAGATGGTATACAATAAAGTATTTATTGAGCTTGACAAGAAAGAAAAGAAAGGCAAGCAGAAAGGAACAAGCACTGTCACAGAAAATAGCCGTAATGATCAGAAGAGCATAATGGAATTGGTGAATGGATGTATGACAGATGGGACAGATGCCGTAGAAAATAGTGGTGATGATGATGGTTGGACTGAAGTGAAGAGTAAAGCACGAGGTATATCAGTAGTTGCTTAGTTTAATGAGCCAGTAGTGTTGGGGCATCCCCTTTGCTTGACTTCACAGTGCAGACACAACTAGCATAACGTTTTTCGAAATTAACCACTTATAATTTAGGAAGAAAGCTGTAGCCAATTGGAAGAAGGCATAATCAGTATCACATTGACCCCAGCCAATCGCAATCTTTTATTCCCATTGTTTATAACATCTAAGTTTTTCTCATACCTGTATATAATCAGATCTAGGCTTTGTTGCTTGGCCCTGCTTGACTTGGGTTTGATTGCTTTGTTTTCACTCTACATCATTATTGGTTAACTTTGTGAAACTGGTTGAAAGTGTGTCTGTCATGGTACAACAATAAAAACAAAAAACTTTTGTCTATTCTTGTTATAGCCAAGCATGAAAGATTATCAAAGCCAGTAGAAGTTGAGGAAACCAAGGAGGCAGAGGAAACCAAAAGCAAGCCAAGTGATGATCAAAAGAACCTCTGGGAGCTACGCCGTTCTGTAGATCCACATCTTTATAGGAACATATCCCTCGAGGTGTGGGAAGAGGAAAAGAATGTGCGCCAACAGCAAGACTTGGTTGTTGCTGCCACATTGCAGTACAAGATCAATGACAGATGCATGGTATGTTTAGGTGTTGACGCCACCCTTTATGGTTTTCATAGCACCAACATTAGTTAATTTAAAATTTTGTTTTGGCTTTTGTCATATCATCCAACATGAAAGCAAATACCTTGAAGTTTTCATTTCATTCTCATGGGAATGATTGTGAACCTCTGATAACATTTATCAGTTTTATAGAAACAACCTCTGCTGATCTGTGTCAATATAGCTAATTCACAGATGAAGTTGGAATTTAGCAAACTAGATTTGGTGGAGGGGGGGAACGTGAGAGCCCAAAGAAAGCCCTTGAAATCAAGGAAGAAACTAGCAACAAACTCTACTCCAAGCCAAGAAATCAAATTTTAGTATAACATAAACAATACTTGCTGGGTGCCTGATTGTTTCGAGTTTACCGTCTCATTGTTGAGTATTATATTTTTGTTTTTTTTTAGGTTAAGCTAGGCCCACCTAATGCTCCAGTAGAGAAGAACTACTCTGCGATCATCAAGGAAGATTATACTGGCTTGGAAACTGTTTTGGTGAGAAAATCAATTTTGTTTATATTGTTAAATTTATTTCCAGATAAAATTTTTTTCTTGCTATGTTGATGGGTTGAAATTTCAAAGGGTCGTAGGAACCAAGGAGGAATAAGGTATATTTTACCTCTATTGGAGATAAAAATCCTGGTTTAGCTTTTATTTGGACCTACGATATTACAGAGTCCCCATAGTGTTGATGTTGGTTACTGTCATTCCCATAAGACATTCTTTAGGGCAAATTTTCTTGTACCACTATCTCTCATAGGGTGTTTTTTTTT